CGAAGGTTCATTGAATTTATTTCTCTTTCCCTTCTTCCCCCCTTCCCTTTATGTTTTACGTACCTGCGTACGATCTTTCCGTAATTAATTTTATTACTTCGTCACACAAATAATAATAATAATAATAATAATAATAATAATAATAATAATAATAATAATAATAATAATAACACGATTTTTACGCCATCGATTCGTTTTCGAAACGTTTTTTTAAGTAGAAAAAGCGGTATTTTTTTTTAAAAAAATATATTGAGGGAAACTATGGAATCAGGTTTTTCTCTCTTTTCTCTCTCTCTCTCTTTTTAATTGCCTGTAGAAATTTTACGTGCGTGAGCAATAAGAGAGAGAGAGAGAGAGAGAGAGAGAGAGAAAACAAGTTGATGATACGTTTTCGTTTGATCGTCATCAAGTAAAAAAAAATATCACAAAACGAACCTACCGGTAGACGAAGAGACGTCAGAGGTACGTAAAACAAAAAAAAAAAAACCTTCCGGGGGGAAAAGGATGAGGAGGTGTGTGTGCGTGTGTGCGGGGGGAATACCTTTTGACGTCATTAAGCTACCAACCTGTGATCGAAATTCCACGTGGAAAATAATATTCTCGTTTCTCTGCTCGCATACGGATTGATACGATGACCTTTATCGAAATTGCATTTGTTTTCGTTCCAGTGACCTTGACACTGGAAATTTCCAAAACGATCGCAATAACTTATTTTCAATTCGTTTTCATCATCATTTTTAAAATTAAATAATAATTTATTCACTCCTTCGTTCATATTTTCCTTTATCGCGATTTCGTTTTTCCGATTTGATTTTGATTTTTTCCTTTTCATTTCCGGCGAATCGATCTTTTCGTAATCGGATGTCGATTCGGCAAACGTTCTATCGAAATAACACCCGTAATACCCGTCCGTTTTTAATTTACATTTAAAAAAATTCAAACAAGATTCGATTTTTTTTCGAAAATCACCGTCCGTTACGTAACGATCGTTTTTTCTAACGTCCTCACGAAATTTATACAAATAACCTCGAATTCTATCCTGTGATTTTTTATACATGTATTCGTTTTTAGTTTTCGAATTCGTTTCCAAACCCTTGAACCAATCCGGATGTTCCTCTCTCGTGTTTTTTTCAACCCCGTCCATTTCAACCAACCCCCTTCCTTCGTATTTTTCCAACAATTCAATCATTTCTCCCGATTTATCCGACAGTAATTCTTTGGCTTTCGTTCCCGCGTCGAGAAAATAATTGTTGACTTCGCGTAGGGCATTCAATAAAAAATCAACACCTGTACGAAAAAAAACTATTATTATTAATTATTATTATTATTATTATTATTATTAATTAATATCTCAATATATGTATTAAAAATTAAAATAAAATTTTTGTACAATTTTTCCCTTCGTTTTTTTTTTTTTCTCTTTTAAACAGGATTAAAATTTCTAACGTAACTTTCCAATAATAATAATAATAATATAAACGAAAACGTAAAAATGCCTTCGCCAGGTACAAAGTCCATCCACTTTTAATAAATAATAAAAAAAAAAAAAAAATTTATATTCGTTAAATTGACGTCGAACTCTTGAGGGTTTTTAAGAGGTTAAAAAAAAAAATATTATAAAATTTCAATTCGCGTCATCATAGTAGGTTGCAAAAAAAATTAAAAAATGTTAAATTTAATTTATTACCTACCGCCGCCATTTTTATTTATTTTTTTTTTTTTTTAAATTAAAAAAACGCCGAATAATAATAATAATAATAATCACATTGCGTTAATTGATAAACGATGAAAAGGATTCGTTTGAAATGTAGCCTTTTTGCGTGGATGATTGACCGTTAAAAAAAATTTTTTTTTTCCGAATGGTTTATTTCGAAACCGCCGCCATTATTATTATTATTATTATTCAAATTAAATTCGAAAAAACAAATCAGTTCGTGAAATTTTTCCTTAAGAAGATTACGAAATACTAAATTAAAATGCTTTTAATGATCATCATCATCATTATCATCATCATCATCATCATCATCATCGTTTTGTATAAAAAAAAAAAAAAAAAAAAAAAAAAAACTTTTTCAAAGAATTTAATAACAGAAAAAAACTGTACGGATTTTAAATTAGCAAAAATTAATTTTAGCAAATACAAAGAAAAGCTTCACAAATACAATTAAAACCGTTAGAAAAAAATAAAACGAACCTTTTCCGCCCCTTTTGATCATTATTATTATTATTATTATGGAATATCCAAAAGGTTTAAATCAATCATTTACGAATCTATGGATACATGGATAAAAAAGCGCAATTTAAAGACAAACAAAAAGGATTGTCGTGTTTCACAAGGTTTGAAAAAAAAAAAAAATTTATTTTTACGAGGAGACAATATTAATACGTGGGACCATCGGGGGGCTAAACCAAAAAACGCTCCAGTGCAATTCGAAACACACAAAAAAAAAATGATACCACGTGGGCCGCCATATTTACATTTTTAGTACAAAAAAACGTTTTAAAAAGCACCACCGAGATTCAATCCTACAAAATAAAAGGCGGGAGGGGGAAAATGCTAACCTGGAATGAATGCTAAAAAAAAATTTTCCGGGATATAAAAAAAAAACTACGCGGGACTCTACGATAATAATAATAATAATAATAATAATAATAATAATAATAATAAAATTTCTCATTACGTAATAAAAATTTGAAAAAATTATTTAACCCCAATTATTATTAATCAGCATATTTTTTTTTTTTTTTGGACGCATAAAATTTTTTTATTTAAATTAAATAAGTAGTATTTGTTAATGACCAATAATAATAATAATTATGATAATAATAATGATGACTTTAAACATAAAATAAAATTTCGTAATTAAAATTGAATAAAAAAAAAAAAAACAATTTTAACGACGAAATCAATTTTTATTTATGAGAGATTCACACACACCTTGATTTGATTTTATGTCTGTCTCTCTCTCTCTCTCACTCTCTATCTATCTATCTATTTATCTATCTCTCTCTTACCTCTAAAAAGTTTAGTCTGTGTAATTAACAAATCGAATAAAAATTCGTTCGTTTGTAATTCAATAGTGAAAGTTAAATGCAATTTAAATTTAATTACTCATCAAATCAAACGGATAACAATTTTTTTCCCGTACACCCCGAGTTCTCTCCCTCCCTCCCTCTCTCCCTACTCCCCTGTTACTTCCCTCCCCTTTTTTTCGAATAATAATCGTAAGGAAAAACAACGACTCACCCGTCAATATATTTTCATTTTTCCTATAAAATATTAAAATCGTTTGAGGTGGTAAATTTAAAAAATAATCATCGTCATCCACGATGGTTCCATCGTTTAATGCGACGACAACGTCTTCTGCTATCGATAATTTCTTACGACCTTTTTCGACGAGTTCGCTTAACGAATCGCAACCCACACCGATTAATTTACTCCTTTTCTTATCGGTCACTTTAAAACCTTTTTTCATCTGTAAAAAAAAAAAAAAAAAAAAAAATTAATATTAATAATAATAATAATAACTCATTAACTCGAGTACGGGGGGGGGTGGGGATTCGTGTCGACGCATTTAATTTATTTAACAATAATAACCTAATAAAAAAATTTTTAATTTAAATTTTTTTTTTCAATATATGTTTAAACAATTACCAATTTTTATTTATTTATTTATTT